CTGGGCCGTGTGAGGGGCTGCAGCACCTCTGGGTCCTCCTCCACACAACCTGCCTCCCCACCCTGGCAGCTCTTTGGAGCCCTGGTCCACGGGTGCCACAACAGCCTCATCCACCTGGATCTCTCCAAAAACGTGTACTCCCACAGGTAAGGCCCCGGGATGGCGTGAGGGGAGAGTGGTGCCCGGGCAGGTGGCTGGTGCTGGGTGACAGATGATGCCACGTTGTGCCCATCCTTTTCAGGAGGGTGAAAACCATCTCCCCTGACGTCAAGGAGTTTTTCAGCCAGGCCTGTGCCCTCAGGCACGTCTCCCTGGCAGGTACCAAGCTGCCTGCAGATGTCGTGAGGTGAGGTTGGGCTGTGAATCCACCCAGGGATTTGGGATGAGCATAATCCAGGGGGGATCTCACTGAGGGCTGGTGGGGAGGATGGGTGGATGAGGCTGTGGGAGGCAGAGCTCTGGGAAGGATGTTTTCTCCAGCATCCCACTCCCACTGCCTGGACCCTTGGGGGTGCCCCACAGCATGTGCTGCTGCCCCCATTTGTTGCACCCATGGGGGCTTTGGTGACTTTTCCAGGGCGTTGCTGCAAGGGCTGGCAGACAACAGCCACATCAGTGACCTGCACCTGGATCTTAGCAGCTGTGAGGTGAGGGACCAGCACCCATGGGTGCCAGCAGCCCAGCCAGGGGCTCCTATTGCAGCAGTTAGGGGAGGTCTGTGCCCTGTCTGAGCTTCCCCATGGCAGGATCCTGTTTGCAGGGCTTGGTGCCTCCCCTTGTACTGATGTCTTGCTGTTTCTTCCAAGCTGAGATCAGCAGGGGCCCAGGTCATCCAGGATCTCATCCCTGATGCCAGCTCCATCAGCAGCCTGGACTTGTCTGACAATGGTAGGTTGCTTTTTCCCAGCCTGGGAGAAGATCTCCTCCATCTCCTGGATCTCACCAGATTTCCCTGGGGATGGTGCATCTATGAGGATGGGAGTGCAGGCAGCTGCCTGCAAGGTGTGAGAAGTCCCCCCATGCTGCCCAGGGTGGTGGGTGGGTGATGGAGGGCACATCTCTGGGCAGTGGCAGAAAGTAAGTGCCACCTACAGCTCCATGAGTGCTCCCATGGCTTAGAACAGCACTGGCACCCCAAATAGCAGGAGTGCCCAGAGAGGGTGCTCCTTCCCTGGGGATCCTCATTCCTCGGGGACTCTGGCTGTGCACAGGTCTTCAGTCTCCTTGAGGGAGCCAGGAAGGGAGAAAGGTGCTCAGGAGCTCCCTGAGCATCTCTCCACCATCCCATGGTGGAAGCCTGGTGGCTCTGCAGGTCTCCTGTGAGGGACCACCTTGATGGCACCTCTGTGGACTGCTTGGAGCATCCTGGTGGGCATCTCCCATCTCTTGCAGGCTTTGACCCTGACATGGTGACACTGGTGCTCTCCATTGGCAGAAGCAAGTCCGTTAGGCACGTCTCTCTGGGGAAGAACTTCAACATCAAATCCAAGTAGGTGCAAAGCTGCAGCACCCAGGCTGGGAGCCATCCTGGCACCGTGCACCCCCTCCACTCTGTCTCCCCATCGAAAGCCCAGGGGCTGGTACGAATTGCCTGCCCATCCTGGCTGCTCCAGCCCAACATGGAGCCAGGGGCTGTGGGGGGACAATTGCCAGCAACTGGTGCAGTCCCAGGGATGGGTTGTAGTGTCAGGCAAGAGTGGGAGGGAGGATGGAGCTCTGCCAGCTGCCTCTGTGGCCCTGGGAATGCACATGTAACCCCCCCTGCCTCTCCTGCAGGGAAGGACTGTTGGATGTCTTGCACCGCATCGTCCAGCTCACCCAGGAGGAGGACTGTGTAAGTCCATCTTGCCTTCAGCCACCCCAACCATCCCATCTGTGCTCCTGGTCACCCTCTGCCACCACTGCGCAGCCTCCATGCCAGGGTGCCATCCAGATCCCTCCTGGCACAGGCTGGGAGCAAACCTTCCTCCCTCCCACTACCATTCAAACCTTTCTGCTTTTATTTTCCTCGGTCTGAAGCAGATGCTCAGACAGAGAAGTGGGAGCTCTTCCTGTTCATCTGGGAAAGCTGGAACCTGAGTCTGGCTAAAGACATGGAGGAGACACTTGGTGTAACCTGGATGCAGCCCAGCATTCCAAAAAAAATCCCTCTTTTCTCCCCACTGCCTGGCAGGCATCTGAGCTAAATCCAGGCTGTTGCCTAAGCACCCATTGCCCTCCTGTTTCTTGGGGTGCAGCATCACTTGGTGTCTCCAAAACCAGCACCAGCCCCGAGGCTTCTGGACAGGGATGGAGGCTGTGTCTGCGAGGGTGACGTGTGCCCTGACACGTGCCCTGGCCACCTCTCCTCCTCCTTGTCCCCTTTCTAGCCTCTCCAGTCTCTGTCCGTGGCTGAATCACGCCTCAAACTGGGAACCAACGTGCTGCTGAGCGCCCTGGGCAGCAACACCAGCCTCACCGCTCTGGACATCAGCGGCAACGCCATGGGGGACACGGGGGCCAAGATGCTCGCCAAGGCCCTGCAGATCAACACCAAGCTCAGGTAGCAGCAGGTCTATGTCACCCTGTGGCTGCCCTGTGCCAGGCAGTCCTGGGCAGGATGCTGGTGCCATCAGAGGAGGCTTGTCGTGGTTCCTGGTGACCGTGGATGTGGTTCTGGACAATTCCTGGCGCATTGTCAGATGCTGTGGCCATATGTTGTGCTTGTGGCAGCCACTAGAACTGCTGGCAGGGAACATGTGAGGGCCAAGAGAGCAGCTCAGTCCCTGCCCCAGCGCTTGCCAGCTCTTTGCCAGGCTCCTGCACAGCCCAGTGTGCTGCAGACAGACCTTTGCAGTCACTGCCCTCCTACATACTCTGCTATTGGTTCCTAAAAGGCCATTTTTGGACCACATTGTGCCCACAAAACCAAGGCAGGGGTGTCTGCAGGGGACAGGGAAGGGTGTCATGGCCAGAGCTGTTCCTCTGGGGGATATCTGCCCCTGCCAGCAGAATGGCACCTGACTGTGTCCTCCCAGCCTTTCACTCCTTCCTGCCTAATTTAGAGCTCCTTGCAAAGTCCCACTTTGGATTTTGAAAGTTTAAGTTCAGATTTTTAACCCCATTTTCAGGTTTTCTGGTGCCTTGGGCTCGCTGTTGCTGGCACCCACCTCAGGGCTGTGTGGGTACAGTAGGGCTCACCCATGTCCTTCTCTGTGCAGGACCGTGGTTTGGGACAGGAACAACACAACTGCTCACGGGCTCCTGGAGGTGGCTCAAGCTTTGGAGAGGTAAGGAAGGAGCTTCTTGGTCCTCCTGGCTTGCTACTGCCATGCAAAAGAGCCCCTGTCCCCAGGATATCACTGTCCCCAGGGCCTCTTGTCCCCTTGGAGCTGAAATCACACAGTTGCATACACATCCCAAGGGAGTTAGTTCACAGCTCTGGCCTTGCAGCCAGCAAACCAACCTGCCACTGTTTTGTGATAGCACCTTCAACCTCAGGGTCTCCCTGAGCAACCAGCACAGCCTCGCGTCACCCACGGAGCCCCCAGCGAGGGCAGGGGGATCTGCTGGTGGTGCTGATGTGATGCTCCTCTCCTCCTGCTGAGGACACCTGCTGAGCACACCCACCTTTGGGGTCTGGTGCTTGGCTGTGCAGGTTCCCTGGAGGTCTGAAGAAAGAGGGGTGCGTGGAGAGCCTGGGCAGGTGGTCGCTGCCTCCCCGTCAGGGTTTGCTGACGGCCAGAGTTTGGCCATCCCTATCTCCAGGGCTGGACCTTGGGACAATGTCCAGGCTGCCATTGGGTGGGCTCTGGACCTGTGTCATGTCTGTGGGGACGTGAAGGGTGGGGATGAGCGCTGGGTCCAGCAGTACCTGCTCTCTCCACGCTGCCTCACAGGAACTACACCCTCAAGTCGATGCCGCTGCCGATGAGCGACGTGGCGCAGGCGTATCGCAGCAACCCCGAGAGGACGGAGCAGGCCGTGCACAAGGTGAGGGGATGTGGGCTGAGGGGTGCAGGGCTGGGTGCCACCCACACTGCTCATGGCCCCTTGCCTCTGCAGCTCCAGTCCTGCCTGACCAGGAACCAGCTGCGGCAGACGCTGCCGGCCCAGACCTTCCGACTGCAGCAGGGCATCCTCACCACCTCTTCTGAACAGGTTTGATGGCCCAGTTGCTGCATGGGGCTGCTCTCCCCTGCCCCAAATGGCCCTGGCTTACTAGTGAGCTCTTGCAAGCAGCATGACCCCCTTTTCACCTTTCCTGAGTGGAGGGCAGAGCAGATTGGAGGGATGGAACAGGTTGCCCAGAGGGGTGGGAGATGCCCCATCCCTGGAAGTGTTTAAGGCCAGGCTGGATGGGGCTTGGAGCAACCTGGCCTAGTGGAAGGTGTCCCTGTCCATGGCAGGGGGGTTGGAACTAAATGGCCTTTAAGATCCCTTCCAACCCAAATCATTCCACAGTTCTATGATGGGAATGGGGCTGGGCAGAAAGCAGATCTCCAAGGAACCCTCCTGGTTGCATCCATGCATTTCATGCATATGCAATGCTGAGATAACTTGCTGCTACACTACCCCATACAGCATGTTCCCAGCAATCTGTGCACTCTTGCAAGAGAGCCCCTGCCATGTGGTATCCCTGGTTATTAGGCAGGGTAGCTCTGGGGGGCTGTAGCCTGCCAGTGCCCCCACCGAGCAGCCTTTTCTCTGGGAGCACCACGGCAGGGAAGGGAACTGGCAGTGCTGCTCTGGCGCCGGCACATGACGCAGCCTCTCTGTGCTCCAGATGGTGAATGAGATCTGCCTGAGCGTGCAGAAGCACGTCGACATCCTCAGCACCTGCCCGGGCAGGGAGGTGCAGGCGGATGTCCTCTGTGCGGAGGAGGCCATCAGGAACGCCAACCTCTCCGTCAGCGTGAGTGCCCCGCGCGGGAAACCCCCTCGGCTCACCCGGCACCAGCTCGGGATCGAAGCGGGGCATTGATCAGTTAATGACACCATTAACCAGCAGTCAGGGAACGCCAGAATGTCGATGCAACAGATGCACGTCACCGAGCGTCTGCAGACGTTAGAAAACAGCTGAGGATTTCTGAATTCCCTTCTAGAGCAAGGGTCAAAATGCTCTCAGTCCCCTCGCCCCAAAGGCACACAGTTGTGTGCACCCCCCAGGGGAAGCAGAGGTTACAAGTGCACCCTCTCTTGCATCCCATGCTCGCACACCCCTCCTTTGGAGAAGTGACTGCTCCAGCTTTGGGCATGCCCTGCAACCCAGAGATGCCCACACTGGTGAGAAACCTCCCTGCATCCCTGAGGGGTTGTCTTTCCTGGGACACCCTCATCCCACCCTAGTGATGAGAGTGCTCCATCAGCCCACGATGAAATCCACCACGCTGGCTGGGCAGCTCCTGGCACTGTCAGATCTGGTTTGATTCTCTTGGTCCTGTTTCTCTCTCCCCATTGCACCTTTTCCTCCTCCTCTACTTCTCTTCAAACCATCTCTTTTCCCTTTTTCCCAACTCTCTCAGCACCCCCTTAGGTACTTAATCTGGTGGACATAGAACTTAAGAGGACAGTGCTGTTGTTGGAAAGGTGGTGAAAGGGATGGGACACCATCTCTGCTGATGCAGGCAGCAGTGCAGTGGTGTGCAGGAGGGGAGGGAGGGTCAGTGGGGGGTGGGGAGCAGTTGAGGGTCCATCTGGGGGGGACAGGGACTCTGAGGGACTAGGATGCCCCACCCTGGCCCAGCAAAGCCAAGTCTCTAGGTCTGCCCAGCTGATGCAGGTGATGCTCTTCCATGGCACAGTCACAGCTGCTGGCTGAGCATGGAAGGATGGGAAGCAAAGATGAAGTGGCGTGGGATGATCCATACCATCTCTCTTCCCATGGCAGATCCTACCCCTCCTGTATGAGGCAGGAAACACCCCATACCAGAATGGCAAGCTGCAGCACAAGCTGGAGTGTCTCACGGAGGAAGCATCGCAGACCTGCAGCTGGGAAATCCAGGTGGGCATCCATGGGCAGCATGGGATATTCATCAGCCTTGGCCCAAGGATAACGGAGATGGTGCCTCCTGGAAACCATGTGAATGGAGACAGACAGGCACCAAAACTCGCCTTTGTCCCCCACACTGCAGGCGATCATGCAGGCGGTGCTGGACACGGCGCACAGCCTGTGCCCAGACGTGGTGCAGAAGAGCGGGGTCAGGGATCAGCTGGTCAATGCCATGTCGGAGCGGATCTGCCTCCAGGACCACCTCAGCCTCAGTGCCGTCCTGGACCAGATGGTCACCGATGTCTTCAGCAAGCTGAAGTGGGTGATGTGCCGTTCTTCCTCCTGGCTCAACAGCTGTCACTCACTCACTGGGCCAGAGGAGGATTTTGGGGGTTGCCTACCAACTTCCCCTCTCCCTACATTGTGGTGGTGATGTGCTGGGTCCTGTCGCTGTGTTTTCCCAGCCGTGGCTTTGCTTCCTGCTTGGGTCTAGTTTGGTTGTGTCCCTGGGAAGCTGGGGGGCTCCATGGGATGATGTGCCTGCAGGCACACACCTGTGGCTGGCAGAGGGGAGCCCAAACCATCAGTGTGGGAGTGCACTTGGCTTCCTCCATCCCAGCCAGCCCCTGTTGCCATTCCTGCTCTGGCAGCACAAACCCAGTGAGCCGCAGTGCAGGGCATATCCTGGGTGCCACAGCCAAGCATCCATCTCCTCAGCAGGCTTTCCCTGGGGGGAGCTGGCTCCATGGCTTGCAGGGGGTGGGTGCTGGCCCTGACACCACTCTTTCTGCTCCCAGTGAAATCAAGCTGTCCATCACAGCCGCTGCGGCCGACTGCATCGTGGATGCTGTGCTGGGAGACCTGACCATCGCCCAGTGCAAACTGGTGAGTGCCAGGGGCACCAGCACCTGCGGGATTGGGATGTGGTGCTGGGATGTGGGATAGGGGTACCCCAGCATTGCCTGGGCACCAGCCAACACTGTCACCACAGATTTGCAGTCTGAGAAGCAGGACAATTTCCACCCAGGCTGGTTTTCCTGCCAGGTAATCCTCTCCTGGTGTGGTCACAGCAACATTAACACCCTGAGCAAAGTCCTGGAGCTGTTGCCGTGTGGTGTGGTGGGGGGTGCTGGGGTGAAGCCGGGCGCTGGCCACTCGTGCACTGGGGCAGGCGCGGGGCAGCTGTGCTGGGGCTGGCAGCCGGCTAATCAGGCCTAAATCCGCTCACAAATCCCAGCCGTGGGTAGGGAGCGGAGCAGCACGGAGCACACAGGGCAGCCAGGCGCGCTTCAGCCCCCGGGATAATTTAAGCGCTTCCTAATGGTTTTAGGCAGAGAGCCTCTCCAAGCAGGGGCTCGACCTCCTGGTGCTGCTGCCGGAGTCGGCTGAGGACGATGCCACCGCGCTGGCGAGGGGCAAGAATCCTCTGGACCTCGCCGCAGAGGAGGTAGGGTCCAAACCCAGTGCTGCCGCGTGATGCCCGCGCTATAACCACCTTTTATCCGCCTTACCGGATGATGCCGGGCTTAGCACCGGAGCCTCTCCGGGTTCAGGCACCCCCCGGCACCCCCCCAGGGCAGTGCTAAGGCAATTAGTGCTGGGAAATGGGACCATTAGCCTGCCAGGCCATGCTGCTGGCACCAGGAGTTTGTCCTTGTGGTGGCCCAGCTGGTCCTGGCTGTTTGCACCCTCTCCCGCTGTTGTTGCTCTGGGATCCAGTGTGCTGCAGGGTCCTGGATGGGGAAGTATTCAATCCAGCGTCATGGAGGGTTTTGGAGCTGGGACAGGATCAGGGGGTGCAGTGCTGTGGGTCTGGGAGTGATGGGGGGATTGCACCCGTCACCTGGCAAAGCCTGGCTGGCTCCAGCTGCCACAGGATGCCACTCAGCACAGCCAGCTTGTCCACGCCGAAGCCGCCACCATCCCTGTCTCCCTGCAGTACAAGATGGCCCTGCGGAGGAAAAACAAGCACTTCAGGAGCATTCGGCCCACGCCAAGTGTGAGAAGTAAGGTCACTGTGGAACTGTCCCCCTGCTGCAGCTCAGCTGGGGCACAGCAGGGGCGGGGGGCTCACAGCAGCTGTTTGGGGGGCTGGTGGGCAGAGCCCTCCATGGTGATGCCACAGGCTGTGGGCAGCAGGAGCTGGACCCTTTGGAGAGCCTCTCCCAGTGCTGTGGTGGGGGTCTGTGGGGAAAGCTCACCCTGACCTTGCTCTTATGCTGGTTTGGGGAGGTCAGCTGGCTCAGTGCCCTTGGGCAGTGGGGTAAATGCCCTGAGCTCTCTCCTCATGTAGCCAGACAGGGGTGGGAGGTTTGTCTGTGACTGTGGAAGCCATGGCATCTCCCATAGCCATCCCAGGGACCACCCTGGGCATGGGCATCACCCACCCATCCACTCACCCAACAAACCTGGGGAGAAGACATTGTCCACGGGTTCTCCTTGCTGCTGGTGTTGCCCCTAGAGCCCTGCGTGCCTAGGAAAGGGAGGAGGGCACAGGAGGGGCACAGGCACAGGCAATGAGCAGCTGATGGGCAACTCCTGCTTTTCAGTGCCTTGGCTAAAGCAGAGCTTGTGCCAGACTCCAGTGCCCAGCACCCCGGTGTCCCCAGGTGACTCCTGGTGTCCCTGAGCCCCACAGCATCCTGACCCCCAACCTAGGGAGTACACGCGGGGGACGGGGGGGGGGGGTGAGGAGCTGCCTGCAGGGCAAAACGGGTGTGTCTGTGGGTGCTGCTCCTCGGGCCAGCGCTGGCAGAGCTCGTTCCACATCACTGCTGCCTGCCGCAGGTTTAGGCTGCGGGGCTCCGCTCCGTCCCTGCCCGAGCATCTCCCCACATCCCCCCCAGCATTCCCTGCACGCCAACCTCCAGCGACGGTGGCAGGATCCATCCCGGGCTGCGCCGCAAAGCCGCCACGCGCGCTCCCGGTGGGCACGGCCACGCTCCCCTCCCCGCGGCGGAGCCAGCGCCCCGCTGACCCTCCGCGCGTGGGCGAAGGTGACGGCGTCGGTGATGATGATGATGATGATGATGGGGAGGCCTGCCGAGGCCGGGCGTCAACAAGGACCCTCTCGCCTCTCGTAGGTGTGTCGGAGCTGGAGCCGGCGGCGGGTCGAGACGCCAGCGGGCTCCGAGCTCACCGGGCGCCGCCGTCACTCAGCCCCGCCGCGCCGCCGGCACGCCCTGCCTCCACAAAGGATGCTGAGCCTGCGAGCGGCTCGCTCCCCGCCACGCAGCCCGCCACCGCCACCGGATTCCTTATGGACCTGCCGACCGCCGGCGAGAAGCTGGAGCATTGCACCAAAGCCAGGCCCCGGCCCAACCGCCGGCACAAGCAGCCGCCCAGCAAGCCCAATGTAAGGGGGGGCGCGGCTGGCAAGGGGGGTGGTGGTGTGTGTTTGGTGTGTTTTTCCCGTTTTTTTCCCGCTTGGGTGAATTATTGCGGTCAGTATTTGTTGCAAGGCAGGAAAATGAGATGCGAGGAGGCGCGGTGGGTTTATTATCCTGCATTTCAGCTGCTGCCGGAGCCTCCTTCTCGGAGGGGGGCTGCCCCAAAGGATGGGCAAGGGGGCTGGCGGGGGGGGCGAGGGGGATCATCCATCCCCTTTCCTGCTGAGCGGTGGGAGCCGGCAAGGAGGCAGGGGGGAATGAAAAAACCCGCAGAGTTTGGGTGCAGAGGGCCGGCGATGCTTTCGGCAATGGCTCCGGCTGCCTCCCTCCTCCTGCGCTCAGTTTGCTCCCTCTCATCCAAAACCCATCGTCCCTGAAGCACCGGTGGCCGCCACGGCTCCCAGTGATGCTGGTGGGGCTCTGCCAGCTGTGGCGGGGTGGGTTTTGCTTTGCCCCCCATCCAACAGGCGAGTGGATGGGGATCCTGCCTTTGCACCCCCTTTCCCAAAGGAAAAGTAACTTTTGGGTGCAGTCGGTGGTAAGTCCAGCTCCGTCGCTGTCCCTGGGGCTGGATCCTGCTGGCATCACCTTGTCCCCATGCCACCGTGATGCAGCTGGATCCTTTCACCTGCCGGAAAGCCCCAGCTTGCATGGCCACAGTGATGCTTGCCCTTGGATCGCAGTGGGATCAGCGCTGGCGCGGGGCCGGAGGAGAGGCAGGAACTGTGTCCCAGGGTGGGTGCTGGAGGCTGGCAGGGCCAGGCAGGGCCGGGGGACCATCACCCTGCAGTGGGACAGGCACGCCTGGCACCCAGGGTGGGCCAAGGCTTGAGCAAGGACAGGCTTTGATGGATGTGATGTGACAGGGAGAGCAGATCTCAGATGGCTGGAACGGCTCCTGAACGGCATCAATCCAGCCGTAATGAAAAGTCGTTATGGATTGAAATGTCACCGGTGGGGAAGCGCCTCCCTCTCATCAATAGGAAGCCACTGATGCGGTGCCACATGCCAGGGAGAGGAAGGTGCCATGGAGGAAGGCTTGGCCATGGCGTGGACCATTTGGCCATGGGGATGGACTGAGTGGCCTTCATGCAGGCTGTGGTGATGCTCCAAGGCTGTAGTTGAAGCATCTGAAGGATACAGATGTGGGGCCCCTGCAGGTCACCTGCTCCATCACTCACTGGCAGTGTGGGGTCCCCTCCTTGGAGCTCAAATGGAGGAAGCATCTCTGCTAAAGGCTTCTCCCACAGAGCCAGCAGGGTCAGAGGCCTGGCCCAGCTCTAGGAGGGCTTTGGCAGGATTTGCCATTGTGTGTTAACCAGGAGGGTCAGAACCACCTGACCTGGGTGTAACACAAATGTGCCTGAGCAAGTATGGGTGCCATACCCAGCCACTGTGGCACCCAGGGGGGCGAGGGGCTGGCAGGAGCCCGGGACTGGCTGGAGCCTCCTGATACTCAAGGGATGCAGCAGGATTAGAGCTGGGATGCAGCTGATAACACTGTGGTCTGGCTTTCATGCTGGGTACGAGATGGAGGGTGCCAGCACCTGTCCTGTGTGGGCACCCACTTGTTTGTGCACAGGCGTGGGTGACACCTCTTTGTGCCTGGGGAACCTTTGCCCCATGCTGGGCTCACAGCCGTGGTTGCTCATAGGTACAGCCTGTGGCCTGTGAGAACAGCGAGGACAGGAGCATCACCCGCGTGGACGAGGGGCTGGAGGACTTCTTTGCCAAGAGGCTCATCACAGAAGCACTGCCGTAAGCCTGGGGGGATCCCAGGGCCCCTCACCTGCCCAGCACCCTGGCATGCACCTATCCCTGGGATTTCAGCAGCTGCCCCTGCAAACGCTGCTGGTCCCAGTGCCAAAGGGATGCTGGGGAAAGCAGCACACCCGGGGGCATTGCCCAGGGCAAGGCTGGGGGGGGAGGACTGGGATAGCAGCCACAGGGTGCAGGATGTGGCCATGGGGTCTGCCTTGCACTGGGGAGGCAATGAGGAAGCACCCATGGGAGCCCTCACTGGGAATGGGTGCCCTTGGCAGGATACTGTCATCTCAGGTGGGATGTCCAGGGTCTCTGGATCCATCCTGTTGAGGTGTGGGGGGGCAAAAAGCTGATCCCTTGTCCCTCAGCAGCCTGGAGCTCACCTTTTCCAATGCTTCATCTCTCCCTAGCCCTGTGGCTCCGGAGACCTGCCCAGGATCAGCCCCTCTGGCTCCCTCCGGCTCCCGCACCCTCAAGAAGAAAATCGGGAATTTTTTTGCCTTCAAGAAACCCAAATCCAGCCGGGGCTCGAGGTGTGAGAAGGAGCCCGAGGGTGGTCCCGCTGCCCCCAGGAGCAGGCGCTCAATGCTCAGTGACATTTTACGAGCCCCCAGCAAGGCGGGCGAGGCGGGGAAGCCACTGAGTAAATCGGAGGAGGGGGGACTCGCTGCTGAGCCCCAGGGAGAACCTGAGCACTGCCAGACCCCCGACTCTGCCCGAAGGATCCGGCCCAAGTACTCTCGGGAGGGCAAATCCCAGTCACTCATCTTGCTGTCCGGGGAGGACGAGGATGCGCTGGGGGTCAGGCATGACAAGGTAAGCACTGTCACGGTCACTGAGCCACCACTGCTGTTTGGCTCTCCCAGTGTGTGCTGCTCCCACCCATGGATGCTGGTGATGGGGTCACCAGGGAATGCAGGGACACCGGAGCAATGGCTGGGGATGTCCCCACTAGATCATGTCCGTGTCACCATCTCCCAGTGGCACACTTGGGGTTGGAGACCTGGGTACTCCCCAGGCAGGCAGGTGGGTGCTGTCCCTGGCAGGGCTGTGTCTCTCCTGCAGAAGAGGCACCTGGAGAAGAGCGAGGGGGAGCTGTCCAGCTCCTTCGAGCAGCGTGTGCAGGTCATGCTCCACCGCATCGGCGTCACCAAGGGCCCGGCTGCTGAGAGCAAGAAGCTGCAGGTGGGGAGTGGCTCCATTTTCAGGATGGATCCTGCACCCCCAGGGTGGGTGGAGATGGTGGTCCATGGGATGAGGGGGGTGGCATCCCTGTGCTGCCACTGCTCATGGCCTCTGCCCTGTCACCTAACCCTCTGCAAGGGGACTGTTACGTGGGTTCCTATGCACTGTGTGGTGTCTGTCTGTCTGTCTCTCCTTCTCTGGCATGCACCCACCCCTTGCAACCACCCCAGAGCCTGGCAGCACCCTGCCCTCTGCCAGCCATCAGCACCGTGGGTGCTGCCACCCTGACATCCCCCTTACAAGGTTTATTTCCCCTTGCAGAACAAAGACAGCGAGATCAAGAAAGCCGGCTCAGATGGTGAGGGGCTGCACCCTCCCCACCCTGACCCCCACCCAGCTGGGCACCCGTGGGTGGGCATGGGCTGGCCCTCTTGGGCTCCCAGCTGTGGGTCCCACTACATCCTGCCCTTGCTGGGTGCTGGTGGCATAGGGCAGGCCCCAGCTCACTGATACTCACTGGTGGCTTGTGCTTGCAGGGGATATCGTGGACAGCTCTGCGGACTCCCCCCCATCTCTGAAGGCCCGCACACACTCTGTGTCCACAGGTGGGTTACCAGTGGGTGCCAGGGGGGTCTCACCATCCCCCAGGGCAGAAGGCTTTGTTATCTCTCCTAGCACCAAGCATGGAGATTGGAGCCAAGAGGGACTGGTGGGCACAGGCACCTGGGCAGGGTCCTACCCTCCAGAGGGTGCCCTGCACCCATGGGTGCCCATCCCTGGTGATGGTGGATGGACACCCAACCCATTGCCCAGCCCCTGGGCTGGCTGCAGGCTGGTTCCCAGCACCAGCCTACACTTCTGGACACTCACAGCTCCCTCCTGCCTGCCCCACAGACGCACCCTTCCGCAGCCCGGCCGCTGTGATGGAGCCCAGCGCCGAGCCCCGGCCAGCCTGGAAAGCCCTGGGGAGGCAGCTGCCTGCTGAGCCACTGGGCACCAGCTCCGACCAGCCCCGGCGCTCCTTCACCCTGTCTGAGCCCAGCGGGCTGCTGGAGCCCGGGGGCCGGGAGGGCTGGAGCAGCAGCCTCCCACGGCTGGGCAGGAACGTGCCGGCGGCGCTGCCGCGGAGGGTCAGCCATGGTGGGGAGGTGGGTGCTGGCAGCCCCCTGCCCACCCCGCCCGCACCGCCCGACACCGAAGGTAGGGATGGATGCATGAGCTGCCCATGGGGGTTCCCCATCCCACTGCTGGCCTGTTCTTGGAGCCCTTGGGAAGCGAGGGCAGCGGGGAGCCAAGCAACCAGTACTGGGTGCTGATGGGGGCTGTGAGGAAGCCGGGGTGCTGCAGGCTCCCCCACAATGGCATCTCTCCCCTTTTCCAGACAACCGGCTGATGGCACGGCTGGCAGCGCCACGGGGGACCGGCCGCCGAGCTCTGTCCGTCCATGAGGAGCAGCTCAGGGAGCCCGAGTGCCCGGCAGAGCTGGGAAGTAAGTTGGGGCTGTACTGGGACCTCAAAACCCCCCTTGCATCCAACGCCAGCAGAGGTGGGTGGTGGCATTCCACAGGGGTGGTGGTGCTCCCTGTCCCGGCTGATGGGTGGCAGCCTGTGGTGCCAGGGTGATAGACAATGGCACGGCCACACTGGGAAGTGCCCAAGGGGAACTTGGCAATGAGATCAGTTCTGGCAGGAGCCAGGCTGCTGCACCCCACTGCAACATGGGGCTGGGTTGTGTTTCCCCAGTGGGCACCATTCCCCTGCGCCTGCGGCGGTCGCCTGTGCTCAGGCACAGGACCAAGCACGAGTCCCTCTCAGAGATGGAGGGTGAGCCCGGACCGTCCTTGGATGCTGAAGGTGAGACACGATGCTAAAGCAGGCGCTGGGGTACGGAGGGTCCCGCCATGCTCACAGCTGTGACCTCTCCAGGTGCCACGCCGCAGGACTGGCCCCGTGCCGGGCTGGAGGAACCGCAGACTGGCACAGGCACTGACGGCGAGCGGCCGCAAGCCCTGG